TTTTTAATGTTATACGTCACAATACATTTATTGATCAAAGTGCTACAATCAATATCAATCTAAATTGCATAGTTAATAACAGTCAATAGACGCGCGTCAAAGAGTTTCAAGCAAATATTTATAACAATATATTTTGACGTGTAGTGTACACACACACACACACACGCGCGCCAGCATGTTCACTGTGTTCCAAAATATTATAATTGAATTGTTTATTCATTGGAAAGAATTGCGGGACATAAATTGTGTACGACGGTTCATATACATCTCATTATTTCACCCGAGATATATTTGTGCACGCTTATCAGAACTTTGATTGTCCTTAATAAAGATTTCCATGGTGTAGAAGGATCAACATTGACGGCTCGTAAACAATGTCTCATTATTAATAAATTCCTGAATGAGGATGTGACGTGAGACCGTCTATGGGAGGGAATGGTCTATGGTAAGCGACCACTTACACTGGCCAATGTAGTATCACATTAGCTTACTTGCTATGGCATAGTACGTACAGAAGATTTATGTCACGCTCTCTTATTGTGAGAGGTACAGAAATAAAATATACGACACTAATAAACATATAGGATAAATAAAAATATTTTGATAAGACTGCAGGAGAGAGAAACGATTAACTACCGATTTTTTATCGTAGAAATTAATTCGTGCAAAGTGCTTTTCGTTTCATTTTGCTCACTTATATCAAGACAAATAATATTAAAATAAAGATAAATAATTATAAAAAAAAAATGAATAATATTTATGTCTTTCTGATACATATATCAAATACATACTATTGTACCATATCGAAATAAATTTACGAACGCGTATCAGTATTGGTAATAATAGTTTCGTGATCGCGACATGCATTTATTAAATAAATTGATTTCTTTGATACATATATCGCGGTAATACATCCTTGACACAGTTGTTGACCCAATGATAGTACGCAAATAGATATATAGTTCTCATTGTGATGGAACTCTGATATGAAAAATTGTTCGCGAGAAAATGTTTTTCCTACGGAGAAAGAATTAAATACTTAATATTGTCAGAGGAATTATTGAGAAAATCAATTTTATTGTAGAGCAGAGAACTAGACAGTCTATAATAGTTGATCCCATTTTATGTATATTGTTAAATAATAAAGAATTAATTCCTTAACTTAAATAACTTGACTTAAATAATTTTGTTATTTTTAACTAACAAATGTGTCAAAATGTATTACTTTAATATAAAACATAGTAGTTAAAAAAAAATTACATCAATTCAACCTATTTTAATTGACCTAATTGTTAAGTTTTAAAGCGTAAACAGCATTCAGATTAACGTATGAGTTTGATAAATAAACTAATTTTGAATCAAATTAATATATTTCTTAAGTTAGACTCTTTTATTTCAATTAACGATATATTAAAGCAGTAGCAACTAAGAATGATTCAAACTGGATATCTAAAATTTGATATTATGAATTTAACAACGACATTATGAATTTGCAACGAACTTAACGAATCAAAAATGTTTTCAACTATAACATTTTTACTCCTCTATTTTTTCTAAAAAATTTAAAGTGCAGTTAAGATACAATGTTCAATGTCAAGTATCAAATATTTCGTCGTGAGAATTTCGTGAAGTAGGTCCGTTACCGGTTTGGGGTCCGCATAATCCGCGTTTATTCCCAAGGGATGTGGTACTATTCAGAATAATAGTACAAAAATTCTTTGGACCGAGACGCGTAGAAAGAAATTGAATGACCATTGTGAGGATGGGCTTGTATAACCACTTTAGTATGCGATGCTAGATGGATGGTTTAAGGTAGGAGCGTATAGGTACCTACGTCCTTATCTTGCATGCGAAAGATGTGCACGGCAAAATACGAGATCGGCGATCTATTCACCGTGAGCTCTTCACTTCTGACACGTATTACAATTCCTGCAGTAGTAAAAAGAAATAAAGCTGGACTCTTGTAAACAGGAAGAAAAGTCGCACGTATCCTGTGCGTCATTCGGTACGAACATCATCGTCATTCGGTCGTCCACCACATTCAGCATGGTGCATTGAACAGCGAGGACATGTATTACTCATTACGTGCACGCGTCATTATATTGTATAACGTTGTTCCAAATAGTCTTTATTTCTACTAGCAATTCGAATTATTTACTATAATAGCGAACGTTGTTAGAGTCCGTACATGACATAAATTATTAACATAAAAATACAGACTACTATTAGAAGCAACTGTAATATATGCTACACGTGCGTAATACATAGCGTCATTAAAATAAATTTTATAAACATCCTAGATAACATTTTTCTTGCATAAGATATCTAAAAGACGTCTTTTAGATGTTTTATGCAACATGTATGTTATCTGGGATGAAGCTACAAATATAGGGATTATATCTTATTATTTTATTTATTTATTTTAAAAATTTAATATCCTCTCTAATCTTATTAAAACATATGTCTTTAAAAGCATATTTTCTCCATGTATATATTGCATTATGATGAATATAATATATTGTAATACGATATAATATACACGTAATCTGACGAGACTCGTATAATTCAATATATTTCTTCGTTAATACTTTGGCTGTCCGAATTGATTTGTAGACGGACAATTGCTTTCAAGGTTTACATGATATTATGCAAGCACCACTCGCGACATTGGCGTGCCATAATCAGTACAGGTGTGTATCGGTGAAAAGAAAGATAGGCGATATCTCGGATTTCTAAACGATTCAACGTTGATGTTCAAAGAGCGCATAACTAAGCACATTTTCTGGAAGTTTTTCAAATATTTTACGTTTCTCTACTAAAAGTTTCAATAATTTATACGCAAAGACCGATGCTTACTTAGCGCAAAATCAAAACAGATACATGTTGCGAGGGTCGTTACTGTCGTGCATCTGATACAATATTTATGAGTATACCGACTAATGTTATTTGATGCAAATCAGGTAAACGGTAATGTATGGAGTCGCCTGATAGTAAAGAACTCGAGAACAAGGTCAAAAGGTTATGCGACCGCTTACGTAACTCGGTGAAGCTACTGACTGACCCGCCTCTATGATATATACCCATATATATGTATGTATACAAGCTTGGGCTGGTCTCGTGAAACGTTTTGTCGTCTAGAGATAGTAACTATAGCATCGAATGACGTCACGGAATGATCGCGACCGCCTTTAGCCACCGACGTCATGAGCTCGCCAAGAATTTAAAGAATTTTGCCGAGAAGGAATAAAGGACAAAATATCATTTTGATTACAAATATATGAAATACATACAAAAGTAGGTACAATAAATAGAAGTATACGAGAAGAAAAGACCGAATTTATTTATTTTGTTCCTAATTTAAACAGAGAGAGAACATGAGTCATCATGACATCAAAAAGGTTCCAAAATAATTATTAAAAACCACTTCTCAAAACAGTTACGATTTGTTTTAACATCTTTTTGACGTTTTGTGACTTGTTCTGTTTGAATAATCGTCTTCGATTTATTTCAAGATATACGTGAACTTCAGTTCGCTAAGGATTTGCGCTATGCAATTATCTCAGAGAGATCCAGTGAGAATTGCTTGTTTTTATCAAAGGGAAGATGAAGTGTTTGAGGATTAAGATGCTGAGTATAGGAGGGATGTCTAGTTACGAGGATGCTTTCGATCGAAGCGATTACGACGGAAGCGATGACGCGTGGGAAGCTGCGCGTATCTATACTACCTCTTAGTGGAACAACAATCCGATCGATGAGCCGGTTTGTCAGTTTTGAATTACCCACCCCATTCCAGAAGAGCCCCGCCAAGTTCAAACGAGCCGTGTCGAAACGCACGTCATTGAAACGTAAACAACGAAGAAAAACATTTTCATTATCTTAGAGTGCTAAAAGATCAATAGGAATATGCACACAAAACTATTCGCAATGCGTTTTAATGATGATTTATGACATAAATTAGCGGATAGCGGTTTATCTCTATATTTATACTGGCGCGTGTCATCTTTAAGCGGGCTTCGTCGAGAAAAGCTGGCTAAGATTATCAGGCAAGCTGTTAACAATTGATAAGAATTAATCAGGGTGTTTAATCATTTTCAAAATTGTATTTCTTCTATATTTATACTGGCGCGTGTCATCTTTAAGCGGGCTTCGTCGAGAAAAGCTGGCTAAGATTATCAGGCAAGCTGTTAACAATTGATAAGAATTAATCAGGGTGTTTAATCATTTTCAAAATCGTATTTCTTTATTATATATATATATATATATAATTTTGAAGTTTAAAATTAAATGTATAATTAAATGTATAAAGATTATCTAAAATTTAAATATTCTGTGAACGCAAAGAACGAATTTGTTGAAGTATCTAAAATTTAACTAGATACACAAATTTGAAATAATTTTGTTGGGCAGAATAATTACATAGAAATCTCTCAAACATGATAAGCAATGCTGTAAAAAGTTGACATTCTAGCAACAACTTTGAGTGTCCTACATAAACATTTTGATAATCTGATAAACTTATTTTTAGACCTGTACCTAGTTGAATTTTTAGATATTTCAGAAAAAGCATTCTTTCCGTGTAGAAGAAAAAAATCGCGCTTCAACGTCTTAAATATTTCCATTTCATTTTATGCACCATTACGTCTTGTGCTCTATAATTGCTCTAAAATATGATAAAATAATTAAATGTATAATCCGAATTATATATCCATATATTATCTGTATCACTAAAAATTTGAATTTTTCGTGGAAGAAAAAAATCGCGCTTTGAAATATTTTCCACCCTATTTTTTTATGCAAGCGATTACCTCTTCTACTCTATAATATAATAAGATAACAACGCTCGCGCTACCCGGCTCTTCACCGTTTAAAAGGGATCGGTCGGCCGGCGTATGCGCATACGTACACAATTACCACGGCCAATCGGGGGACCGGACCACCGGTAGAACGAACCTTCGTCGTATTGTACAGACGTCGATGTCGCTCCAGAGGCTCTCGTTCTGTAGGTCCGTTCCCTCGCGCACATCGTCGCGCACTAGCGTCGGCTCAGTCCGATATTGACGTTCGTACGAGGCGCTTTATTCACTGAGCCACCGCTCACGGTGCGAAATTTTACGCGGGCTTCTGGTCTGCGTTTTCTCGCATTTCTGCGGAAACGAAGAGTTAGAGCAACGAGATACAAACGAGGAAACAGGAAACGGATACTGGGCACGACGCGGTGGAGTGAGGAGTGGTATACATGGGTACCAAAGGTCTCAGAAGTCTTGCTCTTCAACGACACACGCGTGTCCGCAACGACGTTAGTCCGACCCGTCCGAAGATTGCCAAGTTTAAATAAATAAACTGGCAGATAATATATTCTCTGATACCAAATTTGAAACAACGATAACGACGACGACGACGACGACAACGGCGGCGGTGGCGGCGACGACGACAACGACGAGAGGGGCAACATTGACGTCGGCGATCACGTCTTCCTCGTGCGCAGAGTTGGGCCGAGGGAGACCAACTATGATTCTGGACTCATGACTTCCACTCACATCGACTCGCAAACGGCAGCGACTTAAAGGAATCTGACTTATGAAACGAGAACGAAACGAGAAGACTGCTGACGCTGATTTCGACCGAAACTGAAGAGGCATCGAAGAGAGTTTAAGGGCTGACCCAGAGAACCATCCTCTGTGAAAATCGAGCTACTTTAAATCCCAAACGTCGTATCACCGCTGCTTCGAGAAGCCAAAAATTAGAACCCTCTCGTCTCTCTTTCTTTGATCCCTTTCTCTCTCTTTATCCCTCTTTCGCTCTTTTCTCTCCTTCTCTCTAACGCTCTCCCTCATTTCGGTGTCTCACTTCCGCGCGGAGGATCGATCGATATTTCGTCCCGACGGTAGCTATTAACGACACGCGTACTTTCATTCGCTCCCTCTCTCACTCCGTTTTTCACGGTACGATTGCTTCCAAACGTAACGTTAGGTGCGCCAACCCCCTTTGCAACCAACCGGTCGCTTCTTCCATCAATGTCAGACAGCGCGAGTTGAAATCCCGCGTATCCCTCAACCTCGTCGGTATCCTTTGACAGCGAGGACTGTGGCACGTGACCCGTTGGTTCCCTCGTAACGTCGTTCGTCAGCCGGCGCTCGATTTTTATCGGGTCGCCTACGTGCCACCCACTCCATTTCGCGGAATAGGTCCTACCCTATGACGTATCCTTCCTCGTACTTCGCGTCCTTGCCATCCTGCCTGTTTCTACGCGGTCGCGTATGCGTCCGCAAACAGTCAATAAGGAGTACTATCGGGGCACACACGTATCAAAAAGGAACGAACGGAACTCGGATAAGAAACCATTCCTTTCGTCTCCGAGAAGGGGTGTATGCGTAATATTAAGAAACAAATTGTTGCTGGTTACTTCTCGAGGAGGGAGAGACCGATCTCAGTATTTTTTCGGACGCCATAGTGCGGACGCTGGTTAACATTACGAATAAATAGTGAAGAGATAACTACTGTTGATACTGTTGTTATTATTGTTATATTAACTTTATTGTTATCCCCGTTATTGCTGTACGTCCGCTGCTCATCCGCTCCCGCTGAAGTCGATGAACAGCGTGGCGGTGATAGTGGTAGTGGTATATCAGTGAGGGGTACGTGAGCCCGCGGACGGTGTTAGATAAGCGTGTTTCTGCCAAATCGTGCGGAGAAGGAGAGAAAGCGAAGAGAAGGGGATCGGGATTCTTTAACCCTAGGTTTCGCGCGAAGATCCAAACAGTGAGATCGGCATCCGTGTGTACGCGAGGAAAAGGAAATAAACAGGCGGCAGGAAGTGGAGAAGTACGTTGGGGTGAGCTTGGCAAACAAACACAAAGAGTGTACTAAAGATCTCAATTAAGTACACCACCCGCCGGGAGGAGTGATCGATTCATTGTGTACCTATCGAGACCCACAGGAGAATGGTAGTCGAGACCGGAAGAAATGGGCACGAGCTGGCTCCCTTGAACAACCACCGCCAACCCGGCCACAACGTGACGATCGTGGCGACAGCAAGTCAAAATGTTGGTCAGGATACGAAGGAGGAGAACAGGGCGGCGTGGAGCGGAAAAATGCAATTTTTTCTCAGTATTATTGGATACAGCGTCGGTCTGGGCAATATCTGGAGGTTTCCTTATCTGTGCCAACAGAACGGAGGTGGTAAGTGTTAATGGAGTTCGATATATATCTTGTTTTTTGTCGCTGGACTGCATTAACTTTTCTTTGCTTTCGCCTCCCAAAGTCAAATACAAAGAACAAACTTGTAATCGCGATGCGCAGATACAAGCACGATAGTATAAATTAATATTAAATGTATCATCTTAATCGGTGAAAATAAAAATTGGAACGTAAGTTGAATATAAGAAGAGAATAACAGATTATAACAATTGGAATTTATTCGTTAATATAGAACAAATGTTACTTTACGTTTATAAATGTAACGTTTATGCCTACTTGTTATTATTAGTAAGCTATATGTTTTTATTTTTACGACCTTCGTGCAGCAGGCGACACCATGGGGTGTTCTTGAACCATGTGCGTGTCAACGAATAGCTAGATAAACTCTCCAGCTTCCCATGTATACAAGTATACCTATGTCTATATACATTATATATATATATATAT